AACCTGATTATTCTAATTACGCAGAAGTCACTGTTCAGTATGTTCAGTATGCATTCTGGCTTTAAAGGCAGAGTTTGGCACATTTTTGATACATTTCAGTTAAGAAAACTAAATAAGAAATACTGTATTTATTAAGTTTGATAAACATAAAAGTTTCACTTTTTTGAAATTAATTTAATTGTATTATTTTCTCAAACTATCCATGCCAGGAATATACCTGGCATGGATATTCATGTCAGGTATATTCATGTATAATCATACATGTTCATACATAGTGAACATGTATGAACATGTATGATTTAAATAGATATGTAGGTTAACTAGTTAGTAGAAGTCAGGACAGTGTTGTACCTGTCGTACCTGTCCATGTACCTGTACATGGATAGGTAAAACTGTGCCCATATTGGAGAATAAAACATGTCACAACCTAGTGAATACTAGGTTGTGTACTTGAAAGCAGCCTTTCATGTTCAGCCTGGTTGAGGCAGCTGGGTTTGGACTTTAGCTGATTTTTCTCAGGTAAAATTAAGTTTCTCTAGTTTATCTAAAAAGCTTAATGCCTTTTTAGGTTAGCAATTCAGTTAGTTATGTAGTTTATTGTTGGAAAATGCGTATGCTGACATAAAGTTTTTTGTTTGTATCAGCAACCTTAGTTTTGCCAAATAGCAGAGCTGGGTGATAGCTGGGATTCTCTCAGTTAGTTTGGTTTTCACTTTTTGAAGTTGTGTTACAAAATATTGCATAACCCTGCACCTAGTTAAACAACATTCTGCATATGTTCTGAACCTGTAGTGCACCCTTACTGATAGTGAACATGTCTGAACATGTATGATTTAAATAGATATGTAGGTTAACTAGTTAGTAGAAGTCAGGACAGTGTTGTACCTGTCGAACAAGGATATCCTCCTGAAGAAACATCGGATTGGTCTTCTCTAGCTGTATTGTGGTAACAGTCAGCAGCTCTAAGGACCTGAAACTCACCTGTAATTTAGGTGGATGTCAAACACAAAAATTAAGTTTGTTACTAGATGAATCCAATTTCTCTCAGTATCCCTGACACTTTTAAATACAAGCTTTAGGGGTACATTGGGAAATGCAGACTAACCAACCACTTCATCGGGTACACCTGCTAAGCTGCTTGTTATCACAAATAGGAGTTTCATCTCTGAATTGTCTGAACATCTCAAAAACTGGTTGAAGCTGGCAGTGACTTTATGGTATGTTGATGGATTTTAAACTCATAAACATAAACTCCAACAGAGCACCAATGGAATTTGGTTGAAAATCATTCAAAAGTACTTTACCGATCCCAAATGGAATGAGTTATGTAAATGGATGCACAGCCATTGAATGAGCTGCAACTTTAAGGCACTGTAATGTCAAGATCTCAGAGATGCTTCCAACATTTTTTGTTGAATCTAAACATGAAGAACCTAGGCATTTCAAGGTAAAGAGAGATTTGACTCATACCTGTCAAGTCAAGTCTCCCATTTTGACCAGATAACTACAGTCTTTTACCCCCATTTCCTGTTGTGCTCCCATATTTGTATTTTCTCTGACACCCTCTCACCTCCCCCACAGTACATTAAAATTATGGCAAAAACTGACAATTTGGGTTCTTGATGGGATATCTTGTTGTATAGTAGAATATCTGCCTTCTAAGAAAATATACCTTCTTAACTTTAAACTGAAGGTTAGAGTTACATATCTTGGTAAACTCTAGAGAACTGTAATTCATTCAGAATTCTTAAAAATCATCACAAAGCTGACATGTATTTGCATTGTTCATATTAATTGTATCTAGCACTAAATTACCCAGAATTACTGGAAATGTTAAAAATAATTTGGCAGGAAATCGCCATCCAGGTTCCACAGTAATAGCTGAGAGTGCATGTAGAATTTATTTGTCTCATTATTTTTCACTTGTTTTGATGGAACATTAAAAACAAGGTATTGTTTATATAACTACCTGATAGCTGCCAGTCTAGCAACTGTTCTCCCTGAATTTATACTACCTCAATAAGCAGTGAACCAACTTCAGTTTTATAAGAGTAAAACAAACATGGTAACTAACAGCCTGCAGAGTCGGTAGATGAAGTCTTCCTCTGAATGTGAGCTTCAGTGCCTTGGAGGGTGACAGGCTGAGTATGCAGTGAAGCGGTATGCTCACACTGTTACTGGAGTTCTGGACAAAATGCACACAGAAGCAAGAATAAAGAATAAAAACACAGAACAAATAAAAACTATTTTATGGGTGGTTTCTCCATTTATAAGGAAATAAAAAAAGAAATGTTTATTCTTACCAGCTGAGACAGATGAGTCAGATCCTCTGGTTTATTCAGAGCAGTAGATTTAATAAGAGGTAACATGCAGCTGGAATTAGTTCCCTTCTGAGAAAAAACAAACAAATACCAACAGTAAAGTTTTTCAACTATAACTAAATTTGATATTCTGGACATTTTCTTCAAGGTTTAGAGATTAATGGCTTTTATTTGATAGTGAATTTTATGGAGGACCAAAACCAACACAAAAAGAAATATATAAATAAAATAATAAATATATAAATAAAAGAAGAAATATATATTTTGATAAGAATTAAAAGCATAAATATATATATTTTGATAAGAAATAAAAGCATAAATATATATTTAGTTTTTCCTTTTCCTTACACATGAGTTTCCATCAAGAAAAATAAATATTTTGCTTTGTCTTGTTTCTCCCTTTTCTGCTTGCTGTTTTTCCCTTTGCTGTTTTTCTGCTGCATCGTCATGTTAATGAGGAGAGCTGCCTTCTATGTCTACTATTGGCCAATAGAGCTTTGGAACCAACGTCACTGCGTCAGACGTTGTGGGGCGTTTAGGTGCAGTCGCTTGGTGCCATCTTTGCAGGCAACAGACCAAAACAAACGTTATCCCGGTGGTTTTATTGTGTTACCCACTGCAGTGAAGTTAGTTTCGAGTTGGATATTGGATTTTCCAATATCCGCCGAGCAAGCAGCGTTTAGCTCAATGTTGATCCGATTTATGAATGCTAATTTCGGCCAGCCGTTCTCTAGCTCCCTCCTCAAGCACTCAGAGGTTCACTTTTTAATGAATTCATCATAACAGAAGGATATAAACACTGGCAGGTTTCATCTGTCTCAGTTATTGCTAAACAGCTCATAACAGTTGGATATAGAATAATTCAACAAGAAATAAATGAGTTCTCATTGAAGTAGGTTACACAAACATTTAGCTTATTAGGAATTCTGATTCAACTCCATCCATCCATTTTCTTTACACCCTTGTCTCTAGTGTGGTCGGGAGGGTTGCTGGTGCCTATCTCCAGCTAACGTTCTGGGCGAGAGGTGGGGTCACCCTGGACAGGTCGCCAGTCTGTTGCAGGGCAACACAGAGACAGACAGGACAAACAACCATGCACACACACACTCACACCTATGGAGAATTTAAAGAAACCAATTAACCTAACAGTCATGTTTTTGGACTGTGGGAGGAAGCTGGAGTAGCCGGAGAGAACCCACACATGCACAGGGAGAACATGCAAACTCCATGCAGAAAGACCCCGGGCCGGGAATCAAGCCCAGAACCTTCTTGCTGCAAGGCAGCTCTACCAACCCCTGATTCAACTCATATTATCATTTTTGAGATTTTATTGGACTTTTGTGAAATAAAAAGATCTCCACTCATTTAATGGTTATAACGTATCTGATCTAAGAGAAAAAGATTTTGGCACTGGAAGTTTTTTTCTTTTTCCATTAAGAACAGAAAGGTCTTTTTACATGTGAAAAAATCTGCCACAGGGAGCAATACCTTTTTAAAATCTATATTCAGAAATTATTGACTTGAAACATTTGTCTTGCTGAAAAATTACTCTTAAGTTAGCTTTGTTTTATTGTACAAAGACTTTTTGTGTTTTAGCAGTGCAATATATATTAAATGTATAACATTAATTACCTCTTCGATGAAATAATCTGTAATGTCCACCAGCTGGTTGCCCTCCTTGGTCACAGACCAGATATCAGCTTCTAAAATGATGTCCTTTACAAAGAAGATTCCCAGATTCTGAACCTGTGAAGAGCAGGGGTGAAAGTAGTTTTAAATTCTTGGGGGTACTATGA